TAAAGAATTGTCATCAGAAGAACTAGCAAAACTGAATATGACCGAAGTATTTGGCAAAGTATTCCACCAACCAGACCACCGGAGAAAACCAAAGGAAAAGGATCCAACTATGGGACCAGGAGCAGATTATAGCCCTTCTAGACTATCTGAATTGGTAGTTTGAGATTATTAAGATTAAAACTAGTAATAGTCTGTAAAGTATATACTAGGGTTTGAGTGAATTCTACAAGACAAAAGTAGGTAATTATAGTGGTTTCTACTTGCAAGTACTTGTTCTCAGACTCAGTATAAACTACTGAAAGTCTAGGTTAGCTAGATTGTGAGTATGAAAAACTCTAGCAGGTTTATCTTGAGAATAAGATTGTTCTAAGATTATATTGAATATTAGTTTAAGGTTATGTATATAGAAATATAAATACAATTGATATAAGACTAATACTGTAAAAATAACTTGTTAAACATAAATAAAATACTAACCAAAGGGGTCACCTTAATACTGGAAAAAAAACAAAGCTATATATCAATAGTAATCTTCTAGATATACATGCTACTGAAATAGGTTTTTAAAAAAACCCTATTTCATCTTCATTAGAACAATTTAGAATTTTTTATATACAAGAGCAAATCAAATTTAGATAGTTATGTTCCTTATAATTTTATCTCTTCAAAAAAAGTATCAAAAAATTCATTTTTTAAATAAATAGATCAAAAACAATTTTGTTTCAAATTTTAATTTTGTACTCTGAAACTTAAAATAATTTCGTCAACATATATACTCCTAAATTACAATCGATATACAACCCTTCTGTTAGGTATTATCGTTAATGATTATTAACAATATATAACAAAAAATTCATTAATTGATAATCCGTTAGTTATCTAGACAAAATTGTGACGCAGATCACATATATATAAAGGTTAAATCAAAATTTTTAGCTTATATAAAAGTCAATAAATTTTAAATAAAAGTTTCTTAATAAATAGTACAAACCGTAGAATAATACTATATGGTTTTGGCTTTAAAACCATTACTCACAAGAGTTATTCTATAAAAACTTTACTTTTGGAACACGTGGCATTTACTATGATACTTAACCAAGTATATAATATACTAATATTGTGATTTTACTTTATTTTAATAAATATTTTAAACTTTAGAGTACGAGAAGTAAATTGACAACACGACAATGTGAACATTAGATGCCATTACCGAAATCACATTAAGAAGGTTTTAATGAGAATTCAAATAAATGATCTAGCTAATAATGTAGTAGAATCGTCTAAATGAATATCATAACTTGCCGTAACTTGCCATAACTATAATAATGATAAGTAAAAGTTACAACATTATTATTGTAACTTACTATATTACTATAGTTATGGCATTACTGCTATAATTTACTATATTACTGTTGTTATAGCATATTGTCTAATTTCTGGTTGCCCTTCAACGCCCACCCTTTACACAGCAGGAATCCAACCTCTATCATACTAAAATCAGTTATTTGGTTAGTAGATAAGACAATTATAATATTAGATTATTCATATCTACCTTGGCATCATAACTAGGATGTCTGAAATGAGTCAATTTGAGTATTAAAGAGTGTTAAATAAGATACAATTAATATTATGTTTTTTAAAGTTAGTATTTACCATTGTATTTTTCTGTTTCGTCTTTTTCACACTGATTTATATTAACTGAATCTTTGGGGTTTCAAGTGTTAGTATTATTTTCATAGGTTGTATTAATACGATATAGTCGTATATCTTCGAATTCATCATCTTCAGCTAGAATATATGAATTAAAAATACTGATTTAGATTTAGATTTGGATTTGAAAATTGCTAAACAAATCAAGTAATACTTACTGAATTTTTCACTTATAGGAATTGGAATTGTCCATATAGATTGTGGAGTAGTATGCTCCGATATTGCTGGCTGTAGCTGATGAGACGAAATATTCCAAAGTCTATTCACATATACTGGTACAAAATTATTCCATTCTCCAATATGAAGCAATGAATGGGCGTGGATATATCTGCTATATTCACCTTCTACAGGCCAATTCCAAAAGAACAGTTTTGAAATCTCTTTAATTGTTTTGATTTTAGTTTTTGACTTTTTATCTTTACTAACAATTTTCTCATTGTCATCTCTATTTGGCTCTATATTTGCCAATGTTGTTCCGAACAAGCTTTTGGCAGCTTCAAATATCATCTCCTGTCTCCAAGTTCAATCCGATCCATAGATATCGTTTTATCGCATGTGTTATTTTAAAATGATAGTATGTTAGAAAATAGTTGTTACAAAGAAAGGTATTAAACAAGCCTTAATAAAGGAAGGAATGATATTTGGAACCACCCACAGCAAAAGCAGAGGATAGGACTATATAATATATAGTCCCATCTCCTGCTTTTGCTGAGGTGTCCCATTTATATTGTAAGTGGAAACAGGATTTAAATAGATTTTGGAATTTGAGTTAGAGTATAGGTTTATATAGAATAAATTCTATCTCAAAATTATAACTTTTTAAGAAATTCTGAATCCACTTAATTTCTATTCCCATTTACAATATTTTTATTGATTTACAGCAGTATTTTTTTTTTTTTAAAATTTAATAGTAATACAAGAATGCTAACCGCTGCATGATATGAATCTACTATCGTTTTAGCTTCTCCAGATTCTAAAAACAACCAACTATGAACTTCAACATTATACCATTCATGCCAGTACCCAACTATAGCCATTAGCTCAGAGTTATGATAATAGAGCCTATTGTCAGATATTACCTTGACCTATTTGAACTTTTTATTTATTTTTTCAAATACGACTTCAAATGCTAATACTGTAAACCAAGCATCCTGCTTGGTATCCGTCGACCATTGGTCATATGCTTTGATATCTAATTCATTTTGGTTTTTTTTTGTAAAAATCAAAATTGTGTATAAAGTCCAACCACGTTTTCCGAAAAAGTCTTTTTTTGTTTCCCACACAGACTGAGGAAGTATATGCATTTTATAGTCTGCAATGAAAAGTGCACCATCGAAGTCGAGCTCAGCCAGTATCGTTTTATATTAGGCATTTAGATATACTTTTCGAGTTTGGTGTGCAAGGTAATACAATAATTGTCGTGGCTGAAGCTGGAAATGGCTGAAGCTAGAAATTAGAGGTCTCGATTTAAAACTATAAGCCCTGCTAA